CCAAATTCACCAAATGCCACCGAGTTTTAACAAAATTCACCAAATTCCATTAATGACTGACAACCGTTAGTTGACCGTTAAAACTCGGTGGCATTTGGTGAATTTGGAAAAGTTCGATGGCATTTGGTGAATTTCGAAATTACTCAATGGCGTTTGGTGAAATAACCGAATTTATTTTATTTCTTATAAAAATGTATTTTTCTGATTTTTTTTTTTACTTATATATATATATATATATATATATATATATATATATATATATATTTCTTTTTTGTTTTAACAGAAAACAAATAGGAAATTGTTTAGATGTAAGCTTACCTTGAATTGGTGTTTTTGCAACATAACAAATATCTTCCTAAAGTTACAAAGGACCTTGCTAGATTTTGTGAAAGGAAGCCTGAGATTTTAAAACACCAGAACCAAAGGAAGAAAGAAGAGATTGAGCATGATGCAAATTTATTATTGCTAGAGAAAAAGAAAAGGCAAAAGTCTCTTGAAGAACTTAAAAATGTAGAGGATAAAGAGGAAAATAATTAGTATAGTTTATATATATATATATATATATATATATATATAAAGAATATAGAAAATCGACATTATTATACATATTTTAATTTTGATAATATGACTATAAAATACAGAATATTGTTGGCTGATATGTTTTTTATATATATTATTTGTTGGCTTATTTGTTTTTTTATTTGGCTTATATGGTTTTTTTTTATTTTGATGAAATGTTCTAATTTTTGGCTTTCATCTTTTTTAATTTGGCTGAAATCATAAAATACTAAGCTGAAATGTTACTTTTATTGGGTAATATTTTTTTTGGCTTGTTGATACTTTTTTATATATGTTTTTTGTTGGTTAATTTCATATGCTACTTTTCCCATTTTCCGAATGATTTCATATGGCCCTATGTACTTTGGGCTCAGCTTTCCCTTCTTCCCAAACCTCATTACACCTTTTATGGGTGAAATTTTTAGCAAAACTTTCTCTCCTACTTCATATTCTTCCTCCCTCCTTTTTAAATTAGCATAACTTTTCTGTCGGTCTTGGGTTGTTTTTATCTTTTCTTGGATCAACTTCACTTGTTTCATCATATCCTCAGTCATCTCTGGCCCAAGTACCATGGTTTCACTTATATCATTCCAACAAATAGGGCTTCTACACCTTCTTCTATAGAAAGCTTCAAACGGTGCCATTTTAATGCTTGCATGATAGCTGTTGTTGTAAGAGAACTCTATCAAATCCAAGTGATCTTCCTAAGACCCTTGATACTCCATCACATAAGCTCTCAACATGTCCTCCAATGTCTGAATTGTCCTTTCAGTCTGCCCATCCGTCGCAGGATGAAATGATGTGCTCATTAGCAACTTTGTTTCCATCGCCTTTTGCAAACTTTGACAAAAGTTAGACAGGAATCTTGAATCTCTATCTGAAATGATATCCGTGGGTACCCCATGGTACTTCACCACAAACTTCACATAAGCTCTTCCTAACTGATCCGTAGTCCAAGTACTTCTCATGGGTATGAATGCTGCTGACTTCGTCAACCTGTCCACTATTACCCAAATAGTGTCATTCCCTGCCTTGGTCTTAGGCAATGCCCCAACGAAATCCATAGAAATCGAATCCCACTTCCACTTGGGCACTTCTAGGGATTAGACCTTTCCTTGAGGCCTACGATGCTCGATCTTCACTTTCTGACATGTCAAACACTTGGCCACAAATTCAGCTACTTCTCTCTTCATATTGGGCCACCAAAAGGTTTCTGACATGTCAAACACTTGGCCACAAATTCAGCTACTTCTCTCTTCATATTAGGCCACTAAAAGGTCTTTTTCATGTCCTTATACAGCTTATCCCCTCCAGGATGCATTAAATAAGGAGAACTATGGGCTTCTTCCATCAATCTCTACTATAAATCCCCACGACTCTGCGGTACACATGATATACGTGTTTTATACAATGGTTTTCCCCGGTTTTACTTAGTAATTTTATATGGTTTTGAGCTCTACGGAGCCATTTCTTGCTAACAATCTCTTCTTTAGTGTATTCGATTGTTTTAGTAAGCTTTTCAGGAATATGAAGCGTTTCTAGGCAATTGGACGTGTTTTTAGTAGATTCGGAAGAGTTGATAGCCAAGAACTGCAATTTATGTGGAGTGCCCGACCGGGCATGGCTTGCCCGGGCAGACCGGGCAATGAAGAGTTCACAGGAAGAAGCCCAATTCTGAACGGTGCAACGCGCGCCCGATCGGGCAGGCTTCGCCCGGTCAGACCGGGCGATGAAGAAGTCAAGTTATGAAGATGCAATTCTGGAAACGTGTTACGCGCGCCCGACCGGGCGAGGTTCGCCCGGTCTGACCGGGCAAAGAAGGAAAACTGTCGTATTTTACGCAGCCTTCCTCCGCCCGATCGGGCGAGATCTGCCCGGTCTGACCGGGCGATGTTCAAGATTGCGCGATTTCAGCTATTTCCGAATTTCTATCTTTTGGGGGTATAAATACCCTTTTGTAATTAACTTTTAAAAAGAGTTTTTCATGAGTTTTTCTCCTTAAGCCCTAGAAAACTCTCAAGAACCCTAGTTTTATTTCCTTTAAGCAATTTCAATCTTTTAATCCCAGATTAATCAATTGTTCATCAACAATTTGAGTTCTTTCAATTGGAGTAATTGGTATTTATCTTACTTCACTCTTTTCTGATATTCACTGTTCTCTAAATATGTTTTCTTTACTGTTTCTTGTCTTTGAACTTGATTTTGATTTTATTATGATGTGTGAGTAGTTTCCTTAATCCGGGATCTTGCTAAGCCCGATTATGATTGATGTATAAAGTAGATCTTTAAATTCCCCAATAATAATCCCAATTGACATGCTTAATTGATTGTGTTTATGCCAATACTAGATTAGGAATAATTAGTATTGTTATCATCCCTTTGTTCTTATTGCAACGGAAGTTGGGTATTAACGGGATTAGGTTATTCCAATTAAGGGTTTGAAGATCATCACGGAAGTAGATGATTGAATAATTAGGAATCTAGGCATGGTGTTTAATGTCCCTTATTCGCTTGATTCCACGGAAGTAGGCTTGATAGTTAATTTGGGAAGCCATTGATAACTTGGAAGAGACCTTTGGTATTATTATTAGGGATTGCTTTTCTTCTTGTCAATTGATTTATATATTGGGGGTAGATTTATTAGTTTATCAATCATAATCGTGGTAATGCTTGATCTTGGATGCTTTAGTTTATTGATTAATATTTCCTCTAGTTAATTGTGTTATTTAATATATTAGTTGATTATTATCATCCATTATTGATTGGTGACGTGCTTAGTGATTAATTGAGTCTGATTAATTGAATGAACCATAGTCTCTTGGGATTCGATCCTTACTTGCCCTACTACACAGTTAGAAGGAATAGTTAGGTTATTTTTGTTAGGTACGCGATAAGCCTATCAACACACCATCTTTCCTTAAAACGAATACTCCCTTTATCACCAATGGTGAAATCCAACACTTGACCTTCATCGATCTTTTTTCTTAATTGCCTTTAACTTCTCATCTTCTAGTTGACTTTCCCTTAACTCATCATAAATGGATGGTTGAATCACCAAGGCATTCAACATCCTAGTCACTTATCCATGCTCCATCACTTCCAAATTAAACTTCTGAAATTCCACACATAACTGATCTAGCACTACCATCACATTCGCTGAATTTCTGACTTTCTGCTAAAAGCATCTGCCACCACATGAGCCTTTCCTTCATGATATTGAATATCCAATGTATAATCACTTATAAACTCAAACCATCTTCTTTGCCTCCCATTCAAATGCTTTTGGGTGAAAATGTACTTCAAACTCTTATGATCCGTGAAAATCCTACAAGTCACCCCATACAAATAATGCCTCCAAATCTTCAAAGAAAAATCTATTGCAGCTAACTCCAAATCATGGGTTGGGTAATTCCCTTCGTGTGGTTTCAATTGCCTTGAAGCACACGCAATCACCCTTCGACTTTGCATCAAGACACATCCTAGTCCAAACCTCGATGCATCACTATACACTTCATATAAATCACTTCCATCCGGTAAAGCCAACACAGGTGTTGTGGTTAACCTTTCTTTCAAGGTCTTAAACGCCTCTTCACACTCTTGAGTCCATGAGAACTTATGCTCATTTTTCATCAAACTTGTCATGGGCTTTGCAATCCTAGAAAAATCCTTCACAAACCTTCTGTAATAGCCTGCCAGACCCAAGAAACTTCTTACATCTGACACATTCTTTGGGGTTGGCCAATCACTGACAGCTTGAATCTTACTTGGGTCCACTGAGACTCCTTCCCTGGAAATCACATGGCCCAAAAATTGTACTTTTCCAACCAGAATTCACACTTGGACAACTTTGCATACAACTGGTGCTCTCTCAAACATGACAACACTTGTCTCAAATGCTCCTTATGCTCCTCTTCATCCTTTGAATAGATCAAAATATCATCAATAAATACCACTACAAACTTGTCCAAAGGCCTGAAAATCCTATGCATCAAATGCACGAACACTGTTGGTGCATTGGTCAAACCAAACGGCATAACTATGAACTCATGATAACCATAACGGGTCCTGAAAGCACTCTTCGCTATATCTTGCTCCGGAATTCTCAACTGGTGATAACCTGATCTCAAGTCTATCCTTGAAAATACTCCAGCCCCTTTCAGCTGGTCAAACAAATCGTCAATCCTTGGTAGTGGATACTTATTCTTCACTGTCACCTTATTCAGCTCTCTATAAACAATGCACAACCTCATACTTCCATCCTTTTTCTTTACAAACAACATTAGAGCTCCCCAAGATGAGGAACTAGGTCGAATGTAACCCTTTTCCAACAAATCATCCAACTGAGTCTTCAACTCCTTCATCTCAGCTGAAGCCATCCTACATGGAGCTTTAGAAATAGGTCTAGTACCAGGGCACTAGGTCGATAGTGAACTCAACATTCCTCACTGGTTCATACCAGGAATCTCATCTGGAAATACATTAGGAAACTCCTCTACAACAGGTATACTTACATCACCCTTATTTTCTTCACTGTCAATCTCTTGAATACTACACAAAAACAGAAGACAACCCTTCTCAACCAGCTTCTGTAGTTACATTGCAGAAATAATTCTCAACCCTGAACATTTCTCTTCCTTCTTATACACCATTCTGGCCTTATTTGGGCTAGTCAAAGTAACCTTTTCAGCTGCACAATCAATCTTTGCTTCATACCTTCCCAACCAATCCACACTAGGCAAAAAAGGCAAATAAGCACCGGTTCAAACCCCCCCTTTCGCACCGGATTTGAACCGGTCCAGATTTGAGGGATGCTAAAAATAAAAAAATTAGCACCGGTTCAAAACCGGTGGGAAAACTAAGAATTCGCACCGGTTAACCGGTGCTAAAAGTGAGTCCTGCGATTTTTATTTTTTGGTTTTTGCTACCATTGGCACCGGCATGAAACAAAGCAATCAAAATCCCTTAAGAAAAAAAAAAACACCAAATCGTAATATACATTAATCTCACACACACACACACACACACACACACATATATATATATAGGAAAAATTCATGGGATTAATCCCACCTTTGGATTATTTTTTAATAATCCCACCTTTACCCCCAATTCTTTTTTAATGGTCTCGGGTGACCAGTAACTGGTTGAAGAGGTAATTTTTTTTTTAAGTTTATTTTACACGTGTCACCACGTAATTGGTGAAAAAAATAAGTTTTAATTTTAATTTTGTTTTAAGAAATGATAATTAGCAATTAACATTAATTACTTATTTTCAATAATTTTCTCATGAAAAAAAACTAAAAATTAAAACAACTATCAGCCACCTCCCTGCCCCACCGTCTTCCCAGCCCCCAGCATCGCCGCGCCCTGACCGTCGTCCCAGACAGGCTATTAGCCCCGCTCCGGTCGCCACCTTTATTCCGGCACCTTTCGTCGCCTTAAATCACCAAATTCATTTCCAAAATTAAGGCATGGGAAGGAGAGGGGGCCAAAATCGAGGCCTGGAAGGGCAAAGGGGCCAAAACTGGGGCGAGGGGAAGGGGAGGGGGCAGAAAAAGGGATAGGGGAAGGGGAGGGAGTCAAAAACGGGGCGGCGGAAGGGGAGGGAGGGAGGGATATAGGGGCGGTGAACGTATTTTAGAGGGTGGTTTGTGGTTCAAGGGGTGGGAAAAGGTGTTGGCGGTTCAATGGGAAGGGGAGGGCAGTCGGCGTGGCCCTCCGTCGTCGGTGGGCAGGCAGCAGGGAAGGCTAGTGGTAGTGGGCAGTCGTGGAGGGTGGTTGGGCTGGTAGGATATTTCTTTTTTTTTTTTTACTTTTTTATTATTATTATTATTATTTTATGAAACAAGTAGTTTCTTAATTAATTAAGTATGATTTTTTTAATTTTTTTATATTTAAGGCCAATTAGATTGCGACACGTGGCATGTAACTTGGTATAGCAAGTTAAATGACCGGTTGGGACCATTAAAAAAGAATGGGGGGGGGGGTAAAGGTGGGATTATTAAAAAATAATTCAAATGTGGGATTATTAAAAGCGAACGGCCCAAAGGTGGGATTATTCCCATGAATTTTTCCTATATATATATATATGTGTGTGTGTGTGTGTGTGTGTGTGTGTGTGTGTGTGTGTATATATATGTGTGTTTATATATATATATATATATACATATATATATATATATATATATATATATATATATATATGTTAAAAAAAAACCGCAACAATGAACAACAAAATATGCTAATCCGAATCTTGAATCCTTAGCTTCTTCTATGTGGAATCCTTGTAATTTTTTTTTTGAAGTAATACTACCTACATCATAAAACACCAAAATTAATAAAACCAAAAACTAGAGAAGAGATGAGAAAGAAGAACGAGACATCCCAAAAAAATAAAACCAAAGAGATGAGAAAGAAGAACGAGACATCCAAAAAAAAAAAAAAAAACCCTGGAAAAACCTAAAAATCCAAGTTACCAGATCGAAAAACCCGGAAAAAACCGAAAAAAAACCCAGAAAAAAAAACAAAAAACCTAGAAACCCAAAGAACCCAGAAAAACCAAGCAAAAACCGAGAAAAAACCGTGAAAAACCCAGAACCTAGAAACCCGAAAACCCAGAAAATACCCATAACCAAGAAACCGAAACGCAAAGCTAAAGAACCGAGAAACCTTAACCTCAAATTTCTGATTTTAGGCGGCGGTGATGTTTGTTGTGGTTGACGGCGGCGGCAATGTTTGTTTGGTTGACGGCAGCGCCTTGGTTGTTGTGCTTGGTTGTTGTTGAGAAGAGGAAAAAGAACGAGAGATCAGAGAAGCATAGAGAGATCAGAGATGAACGAAAGATGAGAGAGATGAGAGAGAAGAACAGAGATGAGAGAGATCAAAGAAGAAGAACGAGAATCAGAGAAGAAAAGAACGAGAATCAGAGAAGAAAAGAACGAGAATCAGAGAAGAGTTTAGAGAGATCAAAGAAGAGATGAAAGAGAAGAACGACAAAGAAGAAGAACAGAGATGAGAGAGAAGAATAGAGATGAGAGATAAGGAGAGAGAGAAGGAGAGCATGCATTTCAGGGAGAGAGGGGGTTATTATATAAGGGTTTATAAGATTAGGGGCACCGGTTAACCGGTGCCAATTCCTTTTTTTTCATTTTCTAAAACAAAACACACTGGTTAACCAGTGCCATTATATTTTTTCCCACCAGTTTTCAAGAACCGGTGCTATATTGTCGATGCTAATTTGTGTTTTCCTACTAGTGTCATACGCAGAATTACATCGAGATCCTTTAAATCGAACTCTATCAAATCCGACAGAAATTCTACCCCAGAGATGGAAATAGGTACACTCTTAAACAACTTAGAACAACTCCTCACTTCCCCAAACAGAATAGACACATATAGAGAAACTGACTCAGGACTTTCTAACCCGAGACTTCCAACTACTCTCTTAGAAATAAAGGAATGGGATGCCCCTGAATCAAACAAAACTTTCACAGGCAATGAACTTATAAGGAAAACATTTATTACCACATTATTAGCAGTTTCAGCCTCACGGCTGCTCATCACTAACACACGACCCTTTAGGGCACCTCCGACAACGCTACTGGTTCCAACCTTGGGTATAGGTCCACTAGATTGAGGTGGTTTATTAGGAGCACTAGACTCTTTCACCTTCCCTGACTTAACGTCAGCCTCTTTCTTGTAACGCTCGTACTTACGGTGTCCCAACTTCTGGCAGTAACGACAAGTTACCGGTTTCCCCTCACAGTCCTTCCCTCGGTGATCTTTTCCACACAGCTTGCAGAAATACTTTCTCTGAGGCTTCTCACTCCTTTGGTTCCCAATCCCCCAAGACTTGGACGACTGGCCTCCATTCCCTTCCCATCCCAAAGCTCCCCTTCTTGTCCCTCCTATCTCCAGAATTCCCTTGGTAGTTACTATTGGGCTTAAGCCTTTTTTCACCCCCATGAAAAGAGTCCGAGTTCTTCCTTTTCACTCCAACTGCTCCATTTCCCTCCCCTTGATTCCGTATAGGTGGGCTGCACGGCCATAAACTTCATCTAAGGTCTTGAAGGTAACTCCCCCTAGCTTCCCTTGGAGGGTCACGGTTAGGCCTTGCTAAAATCTTTGAGGTTTGATGGTTTTGGTAGGGACTACTTCCAGGGAAAACCTCATCAACTCTATGAACTTGTTGTATTACTCATTAATAGACATGTTCCCCATTATCATGTTGGTAAACTCCATGCATTTATGCTTTCTCAAGTAGGAAGGGTAAAACTTCTCCCTTAAGGCTTCCTTAAACTCCTCCCACCCAAAGTTTGGTCTCTTCAACAGCTCATCATTTCTTTGGGCCCACCATAAGTCAGCTTTCTCCCTTAAATAGTAATCACCATTATTCACCCTCAGCTCACTTGGGCAATTAATAGCATCAAACAACTTATCGAACTCCCTAATCTAGTTTTCAATACCGGTTGGGTCTTCCTTTCCCAAGTAAACAGGTGGTTTAGCTGCATCAACTCTCTTAAAAACTTCACTGTGAGAGTCAAGGTCAGAATTTCGGTTTCCCTTTTTCACCACTTTCGTGATGTTTTCAGTGATATGGGTTGGCTTTCTAAGGACCTTCCCTACTTTGGAACTAGTGTGCTTACTTCTGACTTGGTCTCTCATCCTTGCAGACATACTTCCTAGGTATACCTTGAAGATTAAAACACGTTCTACTCATATAAGCATTTAATTCACTTAGTAACATAGAGAAAATTTCAATAGAAATAACTTCATCTCATTAATAATTAAAGAAAAGTACAACTTTGCCATCTAAGGCAATTATTGAAAGCAATAAACATAATCATAGTTCAATCATTCAAGTAAAACTTTCACCATAGTCATCTTCATCCGGATCATAGTTAGGATCATCTCTCTTGGACTTATCCCTATCACTTGGGTCAGTTATGAAGGTTGGGTTATAGCCACCATAGCTCGAAGTACGGCCTGATGAACTTGACCCAGATTTACTTAGATTATTTTTCGGGCCTAGAGTGTAACTTAGGCTTTTCATTGGGCTCACATCACCACGAGGTTGGTTTGAAGAAGCATTGGGCTTTTGAACTTTTGGACTTGGTGATTTTTGATTGACAGCTTGGGTACGAGTTCTAGGTCTTTTTGCAACATGAAAGTGAACTTTTGGACTAGGACGTTTTGGAGGTTCATAAATTGGAGTACGAGTAGGAGAAGGGTAATTCTTGCTCTTACTAAGAGGTGGTATGGACTCATTACTAGATGACACAAACTCATGAGGGTCTTTGCGGTATGAAAAAGAAAGTTAGGCATTTAAGTAGTACATTTGCTCATCTTCTCTCAATGAAGTGTTGCATGGAGTTTAAGAAGTTTCACAATTCTCCTCCTAGGTTCAAACTTACGTTCCACATAGTGAAAGTCCCTCCTAAGGCTAGACATGCTTGCTAACCACTTCCCCTTATAATGGTGTTTTGCATTCCACAACCCATTCTTCTTGATCACATCCCCATACTTGTCAAAGAGAGGTTGATATTTGAGAACTCTAGGTAGATGGGCTAGGCCAAAAGAACCATCCAAGGTGGTTAGGTCAAAGCTTCCAGGTTATTCTTCTCATAAAGGTTTAAGGCCAAAGCAACAATTCCAATAATAAACTCACTAACTGTGATTCCATCATCTTTCAAGTAATGCAAGTTAAAGTAATTCTTTCTTATATCATCAATCCTTTCCAACTGTTTCACATACACATGTAAAACAATCAATTCAATGCTAAATCACATAAACAATTCAATTCAAAAATCCATTTGCAATAACCAATTCATAACTCAATCAACCAAGTATATATAACTTGGTTTCAAAAAAAAAAGTATATATAACTCAAGATCACCCAATTATGGGTAATAGCTCAAAAATTTCGGACCATAGACCATACCCTAAGGTGTTTTAACACCAACTTTAATGCACACATAATCACACAACTCAAGTTTCAAATACTTTCAATTCTTTTTGTTTTAGAAAATAATAATAATGTACTTGAGTCATGATATAGGACGGTCGAGCCCGCGTCTCCCAGGAAAGTTACCTACAGCGTCGAGGAGAGCCTTTCCTAACAGAGAGGCGTCCCCATTATAGGCCTCCGTAGAGAACCCGAGCATCCTTTTCTCAATCATCTTCCCACAAATAGGAAAATAGTTTTATATAAAAATAAAGCTTTTGACTTTCGCACACAAATGCGAAACTCTATCTATCCTATATGCCCTCTTATGTCTACCCACAATTTTTATTATTATTCCCAATTTTAATCTTTTTAAGACCTTGAAAACTGATACCACTTTGTAACACCCCCAAATCTCCCTCTACGAAAATACTAGTATAATACGTATAATTATACCGTAGGGATAAACTTAGGCGTATTACCGCCGCGTGATTACGCAAGGCTAATCAAACTTACTAACCAAAACCAATACTTTGCAACGGAAACTCAACTCATTCTTTATTAATAATAATATAAATAGTAACCATTGTCATGAGTACTCATAATTAAACCAAGACCAACAACCCTAATCTAGGTAAGGAATATTCCCTGGACTCCCATATGCATAATTCTTGACTCCACCTGAAATTAGTCAACACTGCTTACCATTACGGTAAACAGGGCGAACCAAAACAAATAAGAAATACGGGTTAGCAAAATATGCTAAGTACGATAAGTGCAAGATAAGTAAACTCAATTTATTCGCAAACATGCTTTTAAAACCAGTTCCAATAATCAATATAATGAATTCAAAAACTCATGATTAAACCAATTCTCAATAATTCAATAATTCGATGAAACGATTTATAAAACTAATTCCTCTTTTCAAAATCAATTCCTCTTTTGAAAACCAATTCTCAATATTCCAATAACTCAATAATAATGATTAGTCAAATCAATTATTTTTGAAAACTCAATCTCCTCTCTAAGTATGCACACCCTCCAAGCTAGTCTCCTACTATTTCAAGGCTATTATTGGAGAAACACTAGGTCATACAAAGTTCATAGCCTTCAATGAATCCGCATAGTGGGATTAATATAATAATTATGCTTTTAAAGCTTTTAAAATCAACCTTTTAATAAATACTTGAGAATTAAATCTCATATCAATAACTTTTCAATATCAATAACTCTTACTTTGAAAACCTTTTACTTAATTCATCAAACTTTTCAAATCAATTTCTTTATTCAAACATGATTAGTAATTCAAACCACTCAAAACATGATATAAAATCAATCCTCCAATTTATTTATCAAACCAATTATTTTAACAAGCTTTTATTTCATAATTTAATTCAATCACCATAAAAATCATGCAAAACATGTTTATTCAATCCAATCAATTTCAAAAGTATCTAGCCACCTAACGTACTTTTGGTCCTCGCTTAGAAAACACAATGAAACTTCAAGCACTTGGATCAAACACACCCTACAAATAAATATAACCTTAATGTTTTTTTTTAAAGAAATATAACCTTAATTAATATAAGGTTAACAAATAATCACAACAATTAAATTAAAAACCCCCAACTCTATATACATGAACCCTTTTAAGTTATTTTTCATAAACATGAATAAAAATCTGATTTTATTTAATTAAAAATACTCATAATAATTTTTATAAACCCCCCATAATAATAATAATTAATTAAATAAGAGAAGAGAAGAAGAAGAGGTAGAAAACCAAGGAAAATAGAGAGAGAGAGAGGTGGCAGCAGCTGGTGACTGCCAGGGCCATGACCGGTGGTGGTGGTCGGCGGTGACTGGTGGTGGTCGTGGTGATTGGTGGTGGTGGCGCAAGAAAGAAAAGAAAAGAAAAGGAGAAGAGAAAGTTAAAGAGAGATTAGGAGAGAATTAGAGAATTTGGTGTGAGTGTTTAGCCATGAATCAATGGGTATTTATAGGCTAGCTCATGCATGAATTATGGTAAGAGAATGTAGGAAGAATTATGGTAAAAATAATTAAGGAAATTACTTGGAGAAGAGTGTTAAATAAAATATGGAAAGTTTGAGATTAAGGTGATTAAGAATAATACAATTAAGGAAAGTATGTTGTCATGAAAAATAATATGGCAAAGGAGGTTTACATGGGGAATAATCAAGGATGAAATAAGGTAGGGAAATAAGATGATCAAATATTTAGGAGATGGGAAATAAAAATTAAAGAAAATAATAGATTTAAAGGAGATAATTGAAAATACAATTACCAAAATAATTCACCCAAAATCCAACCTTGGTGGGCGAAATTTTTGAGCTTCCATAGCTTAAAATTTCGGACACCCTATGTATTATTTAGGGAAATATTTTGCTAGATTTAAGGGATTAAAAATAATTGTGTAAATAGTATATATTGTATAAAATAATGAATTAAGAGAATATCAATTATTCACTAAATAAATTAACTAAGAAAATTAGATTTTCCACACTAGGAAAATCCGAATTTAATATCTAATTAATAGGAATTTTCGGACCTCCTATTTTAAATAATAAAATATAACTTTTTTCCTTAATTAAAATATCCAGAAATATATATATATATAAATAATCCGGTTTTCAAAATAAACTAAATGGATAATAAATCTTATTCAAAAACCAAAAATAATAATTAAGTTTTAAAATACTTTTGGCGCCAAAATTCAAATATCATTTTGGATCCAAAATTCAAATAGTAGAATAAATTACTAAAAATACCCTTTTTAGAAAATAATTTATTAATTAGAAAATACGTTTCAAAAATACGGGGTATTACAAATTACAAGACTAAGTCTATAAGGAGTTATGTAATTCACATAACACGATAACATATTTGCATAGAAATCATCCATAGTCATCAATATTTTGTAGAAGAGAAAAATATAAGTTAATAATACGGCTATTTCACCAAATGCCACTGAGCAATTGCGAAATTCACCAAATGCCATGAG